CAAGTCTCCGCCTGACTTGCTGTAAGATAGTCTACCGAGAGAAACATTTTCGGATTAAAGAGACAACCATTCACTGAACGAATATACAGCTACAATTAGTAAATTCAACATAAATTTTTGTTTGTCTCCTTTATAATAAATGAATTTATCTATTTCTAAGTAAAAATTGAAAGTGTCTGTAGAAGTAATTTTTTAAAATATCCTTTTTCATGATAAAGTTTTAATACTTATTACTATAATCTAGACATGTTAATCCTTAAATATACTTGTATATTTTTGTATGTATGTTATGTATTGTATGAATATGTTACTGTGAAAGACCGAAATTAGAGAATGTCAACACATACAAAATACGTCGGTGAAAGACCGAATATTTGGTTATATTATTATACATTCGAACAATTGCTGGTATATGTCCACAAGCACAGATAAGCTTTGGTGGAGGTCGAAATGACACCTGAGAAGCCGATGTCGACAGAGAGGCGACAGACTGTCGCCAAATCCTTTGTGGGTAGCCGGATGTAAGACAAGGTTGTACCTCTTTTCCCGGCAACGGTTTGGTAGAAACCACCCACTTTGTCACTGAATAGTGTTTTTTTTTCTTTTGATCCCATGAGATGGGGATCAGTTCGTCAGGTCGAGTGGCGGAGGATGAGAGGGGTTGTCAGTAAGGCGTCGGCGATATCCGAATAAAAGACACCATTAACAGATCAGTTCGTAATCACATAATAACATAATCAGTTCGTAATTTGTAAAGAAAAGTTACTTTCCATAGATGAGATTTCTTCTCAAGAAATGTCGCTGAGAGAAGCAACTACAGCTAATTCGAAAAGTGGAGGGCAAGGCTATACACGCTGTCAATGCAAAAAGAAGTGTTCCACAAATAAATGCAGTTGTAAAAGCAAGGGACTCTTGTGCAATTCAAAGTGCCATAACAGTTTCAGTTGTTGCAATAAATAAGATTTTATAACTTTAATCACATAATATATGTGTGAGTTTATTATTGCGTATTATTTTTCTTTTCTGATTAAGAATGTACTGTTCGTTTTAGGTTCAACAGTTTATTTACATGTGCTATTACTTAAGCTTTCTCCTATATTAACACATTAAAAAGTTGCATTTTTTCTTAACGTAATAAAAATTTTTGTATTCAACACTCACCATCAGCACATGTTAAATGTCAACATTTGCCGGTGTAAGTGAGAAATAATGATATTTAGTAAATATTTCATATATACACGAAATGACTGTGTGAATGCTGACATTCACCGAAGAATGTTGACATTTGCCAGATATCTGTCATTCACAGTAACATGTATACTTGTAAATTTAAGGATTGGGCCACAGTATACTTGTTGCCTAAAACTCCATGACTTCTTCCAATGTGGCCCAGAGAAACAAAAAAGTTGGACACCCCTGCACTAAATAGTATCTATTAGTCTAATATTTAATGACATAAACTGCTTTAAAGCATTAAACATCATTGAATTAGCTCTGTAAGCTGTTTCATTACTTTTGTTAATCAATCTGCAATAAGAAAATGTTAGCTTTATGAATATGAAAAAAAAATTCCAAATTATGAATACATAAAATGTGCAAATATAGAGCTTCTACTGTAATAAAACGTAGATGCTTTTGATAGATGACAAATATTCATTACAAGATTGAAAAATTAAGAAAGTTTTTTGATCCAGTGTTCCATTATGTATATTTAATGCTGCAAATTCATAAAGATGGGTTTTCACAAATTAATAAAAAGAATAATTTAAAAATTCATCATGAATCAGTGCATTGAATTTTGCTTTCAAAAATGTCCAGGAATGTTAAAGAATAAACTACAAATATTACCGATTGATTCTTAAGTCATCTATTGTATGTTGAAGGAACATAATTTCTTCATCATCATTTCATAAAAGTTTCTGTAAATGTAATATTAGATTTATTCAATTTTAATGAAATAAAACAAAATTATTTCTGAAATGTGTTCAACATGAGTTACAGAAAGTCTATACTCAAATTTTTTCATTTATTAACAATTACACATACATACACATTTGTACAGAATGCTTGAAAAATTCACATGTGCTGTTTCTATATGCTCTCCTCTCTTCTCTGTACAAATTTTAATTTTTTCTATGTTCTTCTGGGTATTACTGTGTCAACAATTGAAAGTTATAGACACAACGTTTAAAAGTAGCTTTTAGACCATTGTAAAGCAGAAATAAGAATCATTTTCTTTCATAATGTCACAGAGTGAATTAAGATTTCTTTATCTGTGCTTTATGAAAGCTGTATTGTTTTAGATGTACAATACATCTAATCCATCATCCACTGAATTCATCATCAGAATATTCATCTAATTAGTTTAGAACTTTGTGATCACTGACTGATCACTAAAAATTAATACATTGTCAATTGGAAAATTAAAAATTTGAATCTTTGTTTACTTTCTAGTAACTGATATTAAATTCAGGAGTTAAACTAGTTTGATTTTATAATTATTTTCTTTTTTTGTCCTGTATTGTAATAAATCTTCTTAATAGCTATATATAATTTGCTATAAATTTTAAAAACTTATTACACTACAGTTTTAAATAATAAAATCCCAATGAGCTTTCCCAATTGAAAACTGTGGTGTGATAAATCCTTAAAATTTATAGAAAATTACTTATAGCTATTAAGAATATTTAGTTTAATTTTCTTTAGCATTTTGGAAAAGGCACTTTTTCCGTTGCCAGAAATTTTCCAAGGTTTTAAAATTAAAACAAAAAAACAAAAAAAAAACAAACATTATTATTAGAAAATAAAAATTAGTTTAACTTCTAAATTGAAGCAATAAGCAATCTTTTTTTAATATAAAACTGCAATGTTTGTTTACATTCTGTATTTAGATACATTAACTTAATTAAGAAAATATTTATAATGAAATGAAACACACATGAATTAATACTTAAACCAGTTCATAAAAAAACAAGTTATTCTCTTGGTTTAAATAATTAATTAAATTTTAATTAATTCCCTGCAGTAGCAAATATTGTATTTATGAAAATACAAACCTTTCTAAGTCAAATCAAAATGGCAACAGTATCTGTAAACTTCAAAAGAATTTTGTATTAACAAACAAAAGAATGCACTTGCAAAACAAAAATCACAAAAGATAGAGTAGTTATATAAAATTGCTAATAGGTAAAATATATTCTGAACTTTGAAACTCTCCTGTGTAATTCTAGCCTTTTATTTTTCTGACAAAAACAATTCTTTTATAGTATTCACGAGATTGTCGGGCAGGCACTTGTTAAGTTTTGTGTCAGTTTTTATTTTCGAAAGGTGAGAGTATAAAGAGTATAATAACAAAGATAAGAGAGTGAGCAGATGTCTGATGTTGCTGGGCAGTATGGCTTGAACAGGTCTACAGTAGGCCGCAGTTCAATCTTATCTAAGAAAGATACAATGTAATCAAGAAGACTCAGCAGCTAAAGAAGTAACAAAAATCACATCTAAGAAATAAAAAATGCAGAACAGCTCATAATGGAACCTGAAACTGATCTGACAACAGAAGAACACCAAGAAACTCAACAAAATATGTTTTCTTCTGAAAAAGAGGATAAATGTCAATATCTGCTATTAAAAATCTTTTGAAGAAGTGGGAGGATGTCAGAATAACAGTCTTAGAATGGTATCCAAACCAGGGTGAGGTTAATAGGCTTGGGGATCTCTACAATTACAATGCTATTAATTACTTCTGAAAAATCCTGAAGAAGAGAGAAAAACATTCAACATTAGACAGATTCTTTAACCACTACAAACGGAAAAAACATGACTAATAAAAATGCAAGATTGTATATATGTATTTTTATTATTACATATAAATAAATGTAGTAAGAAAGTATATATTTGTTTTATTTTTGGGGGTCTCCAGAATGAATTAATCAAATTTCTATAAAAACCTATGGTAAATCAATAATCCTTAACAAACAAAGTCTTGGAACAGATTATGTTCGTTAACTGATCATCCAATGTACAGGCATTCAGTGATTTGTTTTTTTCAAATTATTGGATTCAAATTTCTGTTTAATCCTCACATACTAACTAGTCAGTACACAATAAGGTTTCTTTAACAGGATCCCGGCTGTTTTTTAACTCAGAAATACTTCTCATCCTGGGAAATCCCACTGTCGCGTCAGGCCGATTCTTGTCTCGTGATGATTAATTAATTTTCGTAAGTCTCACCTGACCGTCTTGTTCGTACGCCAGGTTCCCGTCATATCTCTAACCAAGAAAAGTTCACCAAGTCCATCTTTTACACTTTATTCACATAAAATCCAACAAATCGACTATATACCAATAATTCGATAGGAAGAGCATTCCACTATGTTCTCGCACATTCCTTTGAAACTTAACACCACCGTCTTGTGTTGCCAACTCTCTTCAATCATATTATTAAACATTANTACATGGATTAGAGCGATAGAGGAAAGAGAAAGGGAAGAGCAAAGACGAGCGCTTAAAAAGAAGGATAGGCAGGATCAGACCCTCAGATGTGCGAGGATTCTCCAACGATAGACGTGTACGTGTGCTGATCTTTGTAATTATAAATTGTGAATACATATGACCAATATTATTTTCTTTTTTATTTTGAGCATGTCATAAATTATAAATAAATATAAACAAACAACACTAACTCGATAACATTAAATCTAAATACCAAAACGATTAATTTACTGTGTTTTTGTTATTTATTACTCCTGTTTTTAGGTATTTGGCCGAATAATGAAAAATAGGCCGAATAGTAACCGAATATTCATTACATCGCTAATAGTTACAAATTATTCCATAAAATGTTTACAAAATGAAAAATCAGGAAAGACAACTTTTGATAAACAGAACATTAATTCTATCAATTATGTCTAAAAATATCTTGAAAGTAATATATGTGAAATTGATTTTGCTATAATGGTCATAATATGAAGTATACTTCTGCAAGTTGTATACATATTGCAAAATATAACAAAACAATGCTCAATCTTATTTTCTAAAATTCAAACAAACAACCAGATTCTTAGACTATATTAAGGCTAATAAATTATTAAAGAATTTTATATATTTCTGGAATTTAAAGTTGTTTCATTAGAATTTAGATATAAAATAATCAAAGATCATTAAGTCAAAAAAATACTCTTTAAAATAAAGAAATCTCTCAAAAATGATAAACATTCTCAAAATCAAATCTGATTTTCAGCTTGTTTATCAATGAAACATACTCACTATATTTGTTCAATTGTTAAAAATACCATTCTTTTAGAACAACAATTCAAAGAAATTTGGTCATGAGAATGCTTATCATATCATTTTCAATAGCTTTTTTTTATTTTATTTCAATACCAAATTGTCACCAAATTTGGTTTAAAAAAAAATTGCAACATCCAATATCAATTGTAATTTTAAAAAATGTTTATAGAAATGTAATTTTCAAACAATTTTATAAATTAGAAATTTAAATTTATAAGATTTGAAATCTTCAATAAATACATTATATGTTCAATCAATTTCAATCCCCAATATTATTTCTAAAAGTTGAAATATTGTCAATTGATATCTTGGTTTTGCATAAAATACTAAAAATTTTATTATTTGGTTACAATAAAATTTCAGTAAACTCATATAAACAACAATGTTATATATTTGTTATTCTTATGCAACACAACTTTATATATTCATTTTATATATAGGTGGCCCAAAAACCAGTTAACTGAGATACATAAAATTGCTTTAAGAATAGTTATGAAGCAACCAAATCCCAAATAGCATGCAGCTGTTCCAAACTGGTTTTAACCATTCTTAAAATAAATTTACTATCCACATAAGTGTACCTCCTGTAACAACTTGAGAAACCACTAAATCGGGTATCCAATCTGTGGCCCAATAAATGTGTTAACAAAACCGACAAATTAAAAAAATTTATTTCAGCGGCATAAACTCAAAAAAGAAGTTTCACAAAGCCATAAACCTTTGTACATATTTTATTTTTGAGTGGAAAGGAAATATTTTCAAATACTTGGAAATGTGTGAATGAGGAAGGAATACTAAATAAAGCTAAAGTTGTGACTCAAAGGATTATATACTCAAATTCGGAGAAAGGAGAGAAAAGCCAAAAGATAAAAAGTAGTGAGAAAGGTTAAATAGACCTTCTGTTATGCAAATGTTGACCCTTAATTTTCCAACCATCTTCATTTCTTTATCTTTTGTCCTTCTCTCCTTTCCCAGCATTTGGGTCTATACTATAAACCTTTGAATCCCAAGTCCAGCTTTATTTAGTTAGTCTTCCTTCCAGCATTGCAAGATTTGGCTACCCTTGTTTTTAGTTTGGCTTAAAAAATATCATTTGGTGCATTGGCTACTTTTTGGGCTATATATTATTTATAAATATATTAGTTGAATAAAAATGTACTTTAAAATGGTGTTTTGTCATTTTTTATTAATTAGAGACCCAATAAAACAAATATTTGTGTTTTTCAAATAAATTTTTGTTTAGTGAATGGTTGTCTCTTTAATCCGAAAATGTTTCTCTCGGTAGACTATCTTACAGCAAGTATCTATCTTGCTGTAAGATAGTCTACCGAGAGAAACATTTTCGGATTAAAGAGACAACCATTCACTAAACAAAAATTTATTTGAAAAACACAAATATTTGTTTTATTGGGTCTCTAATTAATAAAAAATGACAAAACACCATTTTAAAGTACATTTTTATTCAACTAATATATTTATAAATAATATATAGCCCAAAAAGTAGCCAATGCACCAAATGATATTTTTTAAGCCAAACTAAAAACAAGGGTAGCCAAATCTTGCAATGCTGGAAGGAAGACTAACTAAATAAAGCTGGACTTGGGATTCAAAGGTTTATAGTATAGACCCAAATGCTGGGAAAGGAGAGAAGGACAAAAGATAAAGAAATGAAGATGGTTGGAAAATTAAGGGTCAACATTTGCATAACAGAAGGTCTATTTAACCTTTCTCACTACTTTTTATCTTTTGGCTTTTCTCTCCTTTCTCCGAATTTGAGTATATAATCCTTTGAGTCACAACTTTAGCTTTATTTAGTATTCCTTCCTCATTCACACATTTCCAAGTATTTGAAAATATTTCCTTTCCACTCAAAAATAAAATATGTACAAAGGTTTATGGCTTTGTGAAACTTCTTTTTTGAGTTTATGCCGCTGAAATAAATTTTTTTAATTTGTCGGTTTTGTTAACACATTTATTGGGCCACAGATTGGATACCCGATTTAGTGGTTTCTCAAGTTGTTACAGGAGGTACACTTATGTGGATAGTAAATTTATTTTAAGAATGGTTAAAACCAGTTTGGAACAGCTGCATGCTATTTGGGATTTGGTTGCTTCATAACTATTCTTAAAGCAATTTTATGTATCTCAGTTAACTGGTTTTTGGGCCACCTATATATAAAATGAATATATAAAGTTGTGTTGCATAAGAATAACAAATATATAACATTGTTGTTTATATGAGTTTACTGAAATTTTATTGTAACCAAATAATAAAATTTTTAGTATTTTATGCAAAACCAAGATATCAATTGACAATATTTCAACTTTTAGAAATAATATTGGGGATTGAAATTGATTGAACATATAATGTATTTA